TAATAAATAGTGAGATAAACTGCCCAGAACTACTTCAACAAAAAACTTTTCATATCAAACAAAAAGATACGAAAAATCCTGACATTTTTCATATACATTTTTTCCGTACAAATTATGCTTTAAACAGTCCGATTCCTCGTATTCTGAAGCTGGGAAATCAATATCATGATAACATAGATCTGTTTAATATATCACTTCAGGTCTTTAAAAATCAGTTGAAAAGGCTATAGCGTTTTCGAAGCTTTTCTTTACTTTACCATATACATTATTTGTTCAATATATAATTTTGTAGATAGTATCTACAAAAAATCAATGACTCGAAGAGATGAAAATGAATAAAAACATGGCATTTGACCCACTTTATATATTCTTACTAATAACATCTATCTACCACTGTCTATTATAACATTATACTAAATTAAAGTAAGAGGCAGAAATGCTTTATTGTCATAAAAGTTCAGGTTTTGTTGACAAAGCAGGCTTAAGAACTAAAACAATCTGAAACATTAACATATAGGTCAAGAATTTAAAAGAAGATATCAATATGGCTCAAGCTCATTTCAAAAAGTCTATGGGAAAAATCTGTGATAAAAAAAACGAAAATACTGATGGTTGTTTTTGAAATACTCGCCAAAGAAAGAATTGTCGAATTTCGTTTTTTGGCTCTACCGCATCAATTTTGAACGATATAAATAAAGGCAGGGAATTTTAAATATTGTTGTTTTACATCTGATATAAACCAGTGCAATACGACGTTTCGTTCATTAGGTTTTTTATCATCAACTTTTTTATAATGTGAACCTCTAGTTTTCTGCATCGATTATTGTAGCCACTGTAATAAAAAAACTGAGCTATGGAAAAAACATCAATATGTTTGACTGTCAGTCAGGTAAATCGGATAATTAAAATATTATTTTAACAAACTAAATAGTATACTATCAGGTATTGGTCCACCATCGTTATTCATAACATTATTATGTTCACTTATTCCTACAGTCTACAGGAAAATCTATGTGTCCCATCGTGTCAGCTATTGGATCTCCTATCTGCCAAATAGCAAAATAGCCCACTAAGGAATTTGAAGAATTGCCTATTGCGAAGCCAGGTTTAGTATCTATCAAAAACTCCTCAGAGTTCATACAAAAAACATCCTCCTGCAAGAAGGTAACATTCTGGTTTCTTTTAATGTTACTTCTCTATTTCTCAGCGTCCCAATTTCATAACTAGAGAAAAATAACTTCAATAATAACGAAATTCACTTATTCGTTTCTGTCACTAATTTTTGTATAAAACAAAACAACTTCCAGGTAGAAGGTTGCTTTTATGAATGACAGGAGGGAACGGTTATGGCAACACCTTGTCCCCCTGCCTGGCAAACCTGTTCATGAGCAGATTCGAAAGGGAAACCAAAGAAAAGTCAAAGATATGGCTGAGGTATGTAGATGATGTTTTGCGATATTCGATAACAAAAAATCGATTATCGAGGACTTTGTCTCCTTTTTAATTAACAGACTTCCATCAATAAAACTCACGTATGAGTTGGAAAATAAAGGACAACTACCATTTCTTGACGTTTTGGTAATGAGCAACCAATATGGAAGGCTAGATCACGATGTACTTAGGAAGGAAATATAAGCACTTAAAGGTATATTCCTGACTTTCTTTCCTAAATTAAAGGTTATACGTTCTGTGATGCTTATTTGAACTCAACTTTTTAACAGTTTAACGACATGTTTTGGATCCAACAAGTTTTATTTTCGCCAATTAGTCTTTATACACAATAATTTTGAATAAAACATGGATAATACAGAATATATGCAAGTACTGAAACATTAGTACTGTAATATTTATTTCAGTGGCTATCACAATAACTTATAAATAACTAAAATTCCAAATCTCCAAGAAATGTTTTGATGTTTTGTATTTAATAGCAAATAAATGTTTTGTCAGCTCACAGAAAGAGACTTCAACAGTTTCTCATAGAGAAAAAAATATAAAATTAAAAGATGATAAGCTGAGCCGTGTTTCATGATAATTTTTTACTTTACCTGACCGATGAATTTTCCAAAAAATTTACCAATAAGAAATAATTTTATAATGAAGGTGATGTAGATATCATTGACAAAACGTGAAAATTTACTAGACGATCATTGAGTTCAAAAAACTTACCGAAACACTTGTGCTAAATAATCCAAAGTAATTCACTAACATCGATAGTGAACAATCGTTGATGAGTGAACTTTACATTTTAGAGAACACCTTAAATAATATATTTATTGCTCTGTCTGCCTAAAAATTACCGGAAAGTTCATAAATTACATTCTAATCTTCACAACCATCAACTGTTCAAGTCATGATATGAAGTAATATCAATATCTTCTGATGAAATGGTAAACACAGATTGTACAGAGATCATCTCCTTTTTCTTTAAGGTCATAAGAAGCTCGAAGTCCAAAATTATACATTCATTCACCTAATGTATGAAATTTTCATCATGAAAATTAGTTTGAAAAATTTTTGTTTGTTATAAGGAGAATTACGATTCTGGGCTCTCAGAATATTTTAAGACTAGACACTGCTTGATAACAACTANAGTTGTGGGTAATGTCTGTTCATTTTTGCAAAGATGCTTAATATTTTTCATATCTATTAATCTACTTATGTTTTCCAAATAAATGAACCATATTTTCCAATGGTTTATTATTTGATATTCTCACCTAATATTTCAAAGAGTGGTATTTACATAAAAAAAATCAGATCCCGTATAATTATAATCATACTGTGTGAAACTATTTTAACTGATCCTCTAACATTTTTCCTCATCTGTTTAGTTTGATTTCCGTACTCAACTGCAAGAGATAGATTATGGCAAAAACGTCAGTCATTTCGGAAAATTTTGTGTCTACTATTCTGGAATTATAGTATAAGTGGCTGCAATTAGACTAAATACAACAAATGAATGCACTCAAAGGCGTATAAGGTCACGATGGTATTGAAGACAAAGATAACGCTGATTCCAGACAGATTTCACGGCAATTGAGACGATATTATGTTGAAAACAAATTTTTTCAAGATGTCAGGCATAAGCAAAAATTATGGTGCTCAACAAAACCATCAGCACTTCCAATTCGGAAGTCGCTTTCCTTTTCCAGAAAGCGACTGCCTTCGCTTGACGTGATGTTTTGTCGTGCCACATCTTTTCCACGGTATATCTTTCATTAAGCCAAGTTGCGTACAGATAATAAATATTTCTATTCTCACGTCGAAACTCTTTTATTTCCAGAAACAAATTTTATCATTTTCGATTTGGAGCAATTTTCAGCTGAAATTCGTTTCCTTTAAAGTTTTCCTTAATTTCTTTCTGCCTATCATTGGAAACATACTTTGGTTTTCTTCCAAGGCTCCCATTATTTTGTCGACGTTCGGTATTTCTTTTAAATAAAATGGATGTACTGTTCTGCTAATTACAAGTTTGTAGTTTTTATCAACACACAGTTTTTCTTCCTGAAGATGGTTTTGGTTATTTCACAGTCGTAACAAAAATTTGACGACTCTTCAACAGGGAGAAAATATGGATAATTCAGCATTCTAAATATAAATATAATTGTTATTTTCAGCTATTCATTTTTAATTATTCTTTTTTAGTTGTTTCGGGGATTTCAAATCATTTTATATAGTAGACAATAGAAGTCCGAACCAGTGAAATGTATCTAGTTGAAGTTACATGGCTGACGGACTGCGAATAGCCATGATGCTTCCTAGGTGGCTCGGGGAGTTATTAACAGTAACTACCCAGGACACGAGACTAATGACCAACGTAGTCGATGCTGATGACACAAAAAATGCTATGATGTTATGACCACATAGAAATAATATGATTCATCAAAGAATTTGCCACCCGTGCAACTCCTGACAACGACGTACGATCGTCATCGAAAAAAAATTGTTCAGAATGAAAACAATACGTCATCGATAATAGTCCGACCGAATATTTGTCTACTCTCCAAAATCGATGTGTTTTGTATATTTGTTAATTACAACTATGGAAATTGAACTTCGTTCGTTACCACATCACTTTTGACGCATACCGCAATTGTAGACGAAATATTAGGAATAAAAACATGCAGACCACGGCCAACAAATTCAGAGGGTAGTTTTCACTCAGTTTTTTCGATCGTGAAAATGTAGAGTCAACGTGGTTTAATAATCATTTCATACACTGTAAACATGTATTTTATTGCAATATTTTGAAATATTATCGGAAATAATTCAGTTCTAAGAAAATGAATGAAAATGATCCAATGTTAATTTCTGAACAGCTAAAAAATGTTATTAGGTGATAAAAAATGCAAGAAGGTAAGTGAGTTCAAAGCCAACAAACAGTTTGACACAATTCATATACAGTATACAAATAGAGGTCCTAGAACATCTCCCTGGAGGACACCATTTTCCATTCTACAAGTAGAAACTCATTCAGTCGACAACCTTGCCAGGATTACCACAAGGAGATGAAAACACAAAAGGTAACTAATTTTTGAAGAGATGGAATTGATAGTCTGAATTTTCATTATATGTGGTGTTCGCTAATAACAAGTTTTCGAGAAAAACGCGTTTAAAGTTTCGCATTGTATACAGCTTGTCAAATGTAGGAAGATCTTTCTGAATTATGTTTAAAGTCCCGCCCACTAGATGTGCGTTCGTTAGAAGAATATGAGATCTAGAGAGAGAGAGAGAGAGAGAGAGAGAGAGAATTATCAAGTATCTTCCTAGATTTGACAAGCTGTACACGCCTTTAGTGGGATGTAAGGTCTTGACATCATTGGTCTGGGTATCTGTAACGTCATTCCTTCAATCTGCGACGTTTATTCTAGTTGTAGTGTAACGGTAGCTTCAACTATCGAGTCTGTGATTGGACTATAATGTAGCTGCTTAAAGTAACCTTTTCTAAAGTAACCTTTTTGTTTCTCTGTTTTCTTGCTTATCACCACAAATGTTCTCTTTTAGTTTTCTAATTTTCGTGACAATTTTATAGTGAATTATTAATTTTCATGAATAAAATGAACGCGAGTAACGATTTTGAAAAGAATCAAGAGGTTTTCGATAAAAAGTCGAAGCGGTTAGTATGTAATGCTGTATGTAATGAAGATGAATCTTCTGCAAGTTCTGGTTCAAATATTACATCAGAANGTAATAGACATTTGAAGTTTCGAAGTGTTCAAAAATGTTCTGTTAATATATATTTCCTCAATCTTGTTTGTTTATTTTTTAAAATAATATATAGACGATTATTATTATTATTATATTCTAATATCACGATGAAAAGTTCAAGATGTGGCCTTCTCGACTTATTTTGCTTGCTAAAAATATGTTATACCAACAGTAAACAAATCTATTGGCAATATCTGTAGCAACAAGTCTACATAAAAACCAACCACAAAGAACATTACTGTGCTATTTGTTGTCGTTTTCTCTTGGTAGGCAGAGTAATATTGTTTACACCTCAATTATGGGAGTCGTCTGTACGATGTAAAAGTCATATCACTGCACATTCGACAGCTATATGTTAAACGGTGTTAATTCTCTCAATTATTTTATATTACTCGTTTAAAAAACAGGGCTCCAAGGCTAAACTCATCAAGTTACACTCAGAATCACATTTCAAATTAACAACGATTTCAGGGTAATGTTGGCCCGATTTTTCGGATTTTGTTGACACTAAATAAACGCAGGCAGGGTCTGAGCATGCATTCGCAGAGTGGTATAACACCGAAAGTTATAAATATTCTCATATGGGAAGTCACATATTTTTAAAACGCCTGCTCCAGTATCCCAAGTCGGTGACCCATCACAAAGAAAGTCGTGTAGACGATAATTTATATATTCCAACTTTTATTCGTAAGAATATTACCTTCATCGAAAAATTATGGTTCAAAATCAAATCAGAATCTTTTATTTCTTTCAGACAATCATAACAGTTGTACAGAAATCGTCTATATAACAATAGAAATAAATACAATAAATGTATAAGAGGTACGTTTAAAAAATATGGTAAATTTTCATGTTCCTCAAAAAATATTTTAATCAATTTCTATTTTGTCCACTTCGAAGTAGTAACCCTCGGTATATAATACCCTTGTGATTGTTGATGTGCTCGAGCGTCGGCATTCACATCTTCTCGACCTCCTGTGAAAAGCCTGTATCGCTTATAAACATTTTTATGACTCAGAGTACAATCACCGTATGCCACTGTCAACATTTCAAGTGTTTTTTGAGCACCCAATTCTATTTTTACACAAAGTTCGATGCAAAATTTTTGATCCATTTTTTTCGACAGCAAAACCGCACAACACGTAAAACACTTCAAACTTTTATGCATCTCACCAACAAACTAAACATGCTAAACATCCGAAAACTGTGAACATACGTTCAAGACGAGTGTACCAACATAAAAAAATCGCTAACCGAATTTGAACCTTATTTTTCCACAAACTTCGTACACATGAATTACCTACCATATAATAAAATTTGTGAATGTTTCATTGCCATTTTTACATTTGCAAAAACTCAGGAACACATTGTTTAGTCAATAATAATTTCAGCTTTTGTCTAAGTATCTGGCAGCTGGCAGTTTGTGGAAAATAATCCTCCACAGTGCATTTTCTTAATGTCCCCCCTTTGATTTTTTGAACGGGTCAACCCAAAAAATTGAAATTTGGGATAATGAAATTAATGCTCGAATACTTTATTTTGAAGTGAAATTGACAGACGAAACTTTCAAGATGGCGACTGGGCGCCATCTGGAGAANGCTTATTACCTCATATTATGTAGTTTAATGTTAATGTATTCAGGCAATTATTAAAAGTTCCGCCATTTTGTAGTAGTTGAAGATATTGACATTATATTCTAGGGTTGTAAAGCATTTGTCAGGAGCTTCAAAAAGTTTTGTCACTTTTCAATTAATTTTTTTCCAGATCGCGCCCAGTCGCCATTTTGAAAGTTTCATTTGTCAATTTCACTTCAAAATAAAGTATTCATCCATAAATTTCATTATCCCAAATTTCAATTTTTTGAGTTGGTCCGTTCAAAAAATAAAAGGGGGGGCATTAAAGAAATGCACTGTATATTGAATTGAATTTTAGTATGAATTATCTATTCTTCAAGTTATCTCTAAAGGAAAAAAATGGAAAAATACAACTGAAATGGACATTTCAATCATTGTAAGTTTCTGAGCAGATATTTCTTCATGGAAATGTTGTTAATATTGAAGACATCATCTTTATCTGAAGTGAAGAAATATCCACCAATGATTGTTGATTATTTTGTTCTTCAAACTAATAACTCAGCACTCAGAATAAAAAAGTATAATAGATACCTAAC